AAATCACACTCAAAAATCAATAGTGTTTATTCTTCAATAATGATCTAGCAGAAAAAGAAATCAACAAAGCAAGCCCATTGCAATAGTTGCCCCCAAAGTAAAATACCTAGGAATCAATTTAACCAAAGGAGTTAAAGGATCTCTATGAGACCTACAAATCAAAGGGGAAATAAATTAGAGGATACAAAAAGACGCAAAGACATTCCATGCTCTTGGATTGGAAGAATTAACATCGTGAAAATGTCCATACTACCCAAAGTGATCTACAAATTAAATGCAATNACACCGAGGGTTGCGATCCGTTGCCGGACATGAAAAAAGACAAAAAAAAAAAAAAAGAAAAGAAAATACATTCTTCTCATGAGCACAGAATAGAGCATGTTAGGTCACAAAACAAGTCTCAAGAAATTTTTTAAAAATTGAAATCATTTCAAGTATCTTTTCAGACCACAATGGATTAAAACTAGAAATCAATAACAAGTGAAACTCTGGAATTACACAAATACATGGAAGTTAAACAACATGCTCCCAAATGATCTATAGGTCCAAGAAGAAATTAAACAGAAAGTCAAAAACTTTCTTGAAAGTAATGAAAATAAAGAAACATCATACCAAAACCTGTGGGATACTGTAAAAGCAGAACTAATAGGGAAGCATATTGCAATAACTGCTTGCATCAAAAGAATAGAAAGATTTTAAATATACACCTAATGCTGAATTAGAGAAACAAGAATAATCCAATCCCCAAATTAGTAGATGGAAAGAAATAATTACAATCAGAGCAGAACTCAATGATATAAAGACCCAAAAAGCAACACAAAAGATTAATGATAAAAAAGTTGGTATTTTAGAAAAGGTAAGCATCATAGACAAACATTAGCTTGGCTAACTAAAAAATGAAGAGAGAAGACCCAGAGATCAAAAATCAGCAATGGAAAAGGAGATATTACAATCAATACCACATAAATACAAAGAATCATTAGAGACTACTATAAACAACTATACATTAATGAATTTGAAAACCTGGAGGAAAGGGACACATTTCTGGACACAACAAACCACCAAGACAGAATCAAGAAGAAATAGAAGACCTGAGCAGACCAATAACAAGCAGCAAGATTGAGGTAGTAATCAGCAGGAATCCCAACAAAGAATAGCCCAGGACCAGATGGCTCTCCTGCTGAATACTACCAAACCTTTAAAGAGGAATTAATGCCAATTCTCTTAAAAGTATTCCATAAAACTGTAACACAGACAATTCTCCCATACTCATTCTGTGAGGCCAGCATCTCACTGATACCAAAACCAGACAAAGATACACAACAAAAACGGAAGTCAAAGGCCAATATCTTTGATGAACAGAGATGCAAAAATTAGCAAACAGAATACAGCAACACATCAAAAATTTATAAACAATGTTCAAGTGGGATTGATCCCAGGGATGCAAGGATGGTTCAACATATGCAAGTCAATTAATGTGATATACCACATCAATAAAATCAAGGACAAAAACCATTTGATTATCTCAATAGATGCAGAAAAAGCATTTGACAAGATTCACCCTCCTTTGATGGTAAAACTGTCAGCAAATTAGGTATAGAAGGAAAGTATCTCAGCACAAAAAAGCCATATATGACAAACCCATCACCAATTTCATTCTCTTTGATATTTAAAAGCTTTCAGATTTTCCCTTAAGAACAGGAATAAGACAAGGATGCCCACTCTCACCACTCCTATTTAACATAGTACTGGTAGTGCTAGTCAGAGCATCAGGCAAGAGAAAGAAATAAAGGGCATTCAGACTGGAAAAGACAAAGTCAAACTGTCCCTGTTTGCAGATGACATGATCCTATGTATAGAAAAACCTGAAGACACAGAAAATACATTCTACAAAAGAAAAAAACCCTCTTAGAACAGATAAATGATTTCAGTAATGTTGCAGAAAACAAAATCACACTCAAAAATCAATAGTGTTTATTCTTCAATAATGATCTAGCAGAAAAAGAAATCAACAAAGCAAGCCCATTGCAATAGTTGCCCCCAAAGTAAAATACCTAGGAATCAATTTAACCAAAGGAGTTAAAGGATCTCTATGAGACCTACAAATCAAAGGGGAAATAAATTAGAGGATACAAAAAGACGCAAAGACATTCCATGCTCTTGGATTGGAAGAATTAACATCGTGAAAATGTCCATACTACCCAAAGTGATCTACAAATTAAATGCAATCCCCATCAAAATACCAACAATATTCTTCACAGAAATATTAAATCCTAACATTCATCTGGAACAACAAAAGACCCTAAATAGCCAAAGGAATCTTTAGCAAGAAAATAAATAAATAAATAAAGCTTGAGGCATAACACTATGCCACTTTAAATTATACTATAAAGCTATAGTAACCAAAATAACATGGTACTGGCATAAAAACCAACAACCCAGAAATCAACCCACATACTTACAGCCAAGTGATGTTTCATAAAGGCAACAAGATCATACACTGAGGAAAAGTCTGCCTCTTCAAAATGGTGTTGGGAAAACTAGACATCCATATGTAGAAGAATAAAACTAGACCTGTACCTCTCGCTATATACTAAAGTCAATTCAAAATGGATTAAAGCCTTAAGTATAAGACCTGAAACTGTAAAATTCCTAAAAGAAAACATAGAGGAAACACTTCAGGAACTAGGACTAGGCAAAGACTATCAATATGACTGCAAAAGCATAGGCAACAAAAGAAAAAATAAACAAATGGGATTATATCAAACTGAAAAGCTTCTGCATAGCAAAAGAAACAGATAACAGAGCAAAAACACAACCTACAGAATGGGAGAAAATATTTACAAACTATGCATCTGACAAGGGATTAATATCCAAAATATATAAGGAACTCAAACAACTTAGTAGAAAAACAAATAACCCAGTTAAAAAATGGGCAAAGGGGCTGAATAGACATTTCTCAAAAGACGACATCCAGATGGCCAACAGATACATCAAAAAATGCTCAGCATCACTAAGCATCAGGGAAATGCAAATCAAAACCACACTGAGATATCATCTTATCCCAGTTAAACTGGCCATTATCAAAAAGGCAGAGAATAACAAATGCTGGCAAGGATGTGGAGAAAGGGGGGCCCTCATACACTGTTGGTGGGACTCTAAATTAGTGCAGCCATTATGGAAAACAGTATGGAGATTTCTCAAACAACTACAGATAGAATTTCCATATAATCCAGTAATTCCATTGCTGGGTATATGTCCCAAGTAATGGAAATCATCGTGTCATATCAAAGGGACACCTGCATTCCCCTGTTTAGTGCAGCTCTATTTACAATAGCCAAGAGTTGGAACCAACCTAAATGTCCATTGACAGGCAAGCAGATAAGGAAAATGTGTATATACACAGTGGATTACTATTCAGCCATAAAAAAGATGTAATTCCTCTATTCGCAGTAACATGGATGAAAGAGAAAATTATGCTGGGTGAAATAAGCCAGGCACAGAAAGAGAAATACCACATGTCCACACTTACAAATGGGAGCTTTAAAAAAAAATTTCTTTTTAAAGAGACAATAACTGTAATAATTGTTGAACTTTCAAAGGGGGAGAACAGAACTGAGGCCATCAGAGATGGGAAGGGCAGAGGGGAGAGCAAGGAATGGGTAAGAGTGCCTCATCATGTTGTGCAAGGTTGAATATACTAATTATCTTGATTTGAGCATCACATATTGTGCACAGGTATGGATATTCAATGCTGTACCCCACAGATATGTACGATCAATTATGTCTCAATAAAGAAAAAATAAAAATAAATAAATAAAAGAAACTGGGGAAAGCAATGAGGCCTTCCAAGTTGGTCAGGGGTATGAGTAAACCTCGGGCCAATGGTCTAGATTCTTTGATTATCATTTTGAGAAATATAAAAAGAAAGTGAAAGAAAAAAAGATCTACTCTCTCAGTAAATTTCAAGTATGCAGTACATTAATATTAACAATAGATATGCCTCATTTTACAAGGGCTGCATGGTAGCACATTGTATGACTGCCCCATATTGATTTAACCATCTCTTATTGGTGGGTAATATGTTGTTTCCAGTAACTCTTTTATTACAAAGAGTGTAGCAGTGAATACCTTTGTCAAATGTGACAAATTTACCCATAGAGTAGACTCCTAGAGGTGGAAATTCTGGGTGTATCCTGGACTCTAGCTGCACACCCAGATAGCCTAGTAATGAATGGATTGGAGAATCAATATTTGACATACAAATGATAAATTTCCTGAAACTGTTACTCCTTTCAGAAAAGTATTAAAATTATTTTTCTGGAAGTAAATGTGACTCCCAGGTCTACAAGCTATTAACTGTGTGACCTTGAGCAAGTTGCTTAAACTCTGTATGTCTCAACTGCCCCGTCTATCCAGTGGGACTAATAACTATGCTTACCTTATGCAGTGCAGTGGGTTAAATGGTGGTTCTCAGAAAGATCCACTTTCTAATCCCTAGAACCTATGGAGGCAGATATAATTAAGCTATGATGAAATAAGCATCCTGGATTATCTGGGTGAGCTCTAAATTTGAAGACAAGCTTCCTTGTAAGAAAAAGACAAAGGAAATTTGAAACAGGTAGAAGACAAGATAGACACAGAGAAGCACATCATGTGAAGGAGACAGCAGAGATTGCAGTGATACAGCCACAAATCGAAGAATGCCTGGAGCTACCGGCAGATGGAAGAATACAGAGGAATCCTCTCCTAGAGCCTGCAGAGGGATCACAACACTGCTGGCACCTTCATTTCAGACTTCTAGACTTCAAAGCTATGGAAGAATAAATTTCTGTTATTTTAAGTCATTTCGTTTGCAGTAATTTGTTATGTCAGCCCTAGGGAACTAATACATAGAGTGATTAGAAGAGATAATTTATGTAAAGTTTTAAAAGATTGTCTGCTTGGTTTGCAACAAACCTTTGATAATTATTAACTTTTTTTTTTTTTTTTTGCACTAGTATAAATCTCTGAACTTGAGGAGTAGTAGTGAAGATAGAGGTAAGTAGACAGATTTCAAAGTTTGTGAAAGACTTGGTAGTAGACTAAATATAGGATGTTAGGGAGACAGAGGTGTCAAGATGGGCCTTAAGTTTCTGGCTGTGGAACTGGATGGATGCTGGTGTCATTTTTTGAGGTAGGGAAAGTTAAAGTATACCCAGGCTTAGAAGAAAATGCAGAGTTGAGTTTGGGATATGTTGAATTTGAGTTTTAGAGATATCAGAGGTGAGTTCAAGCAGACAGTTATATATGTGGGTCTAGAGTTCAAGAAGAAGTCTAGGTTGGAGATACTATATGTGATGGTTTATTCTATGTTTCAACTTGACTGGATCATGCGATGCCCAGATAATTGGTTAAAAATTCCTGGGTATGTCTGTGAGGGTGTTTCTGGAGGAGATTAGCATTTGAATTTATATGCTGACTAACAGAGATGGCCCTCCCCAATGTGGGTGAGCATTATACAATTCATTGAGGGCCTGAGTAGAACAAAAAGTCAGAGGAAGAACAAAGACACTCTGCCAGACTGCTCAGTCAGGGACATTGATCTTCTCCTGCCCTCATCACTAATGGTTCTCCAGTCTTCAGACCCAGATTGGAATCTATACCACGGCTCTCCAGTTCTTGGACCTTCTGTATTAGTCTATTTCTGTTGCTTATAACAGAATACCCCAAACTGGCTAATTTATAAAGAAAAGAGGTATCTTTCTGATAGTTTCGGGGCTGGGAAATCCAGAGAACACATCTGATGAGGGCCTTTTTCATCCCATGGCAATGCAGGGTATCACATGGCAAGAAAATGGCAAGAGCTCGCAATGCAGGGTATCACATGGCAAGAAAATGGCAAGAGCTCTCTTATGTGCTCTTTATAAAGCTGCCAGTCCACACCCATGATAACTCATTACTCCATGAATAATCTATTCACAAGGACACAGTCCCCATGATCCAATCACCTGTCAAAGGCCCAACTTTTAAATATCATAATCAGATTTCCCACCCTCTTAACGCTGTTACAGTGGAGATCAAGTTTCTAACACATGAACTTTTGGGGGACACATTTGACTCACAGCACCTTCAAACTACACCACCAGCTTTCCTGGGTCTCCAGCTTGCAGATGACAGAGAGTAGGATTTCTCAACCTCCATAACCATGTGAGCCAATACCTTATACTAAATCCCTTCATATATTTATATGAGAAACCATGAGAGAATACATTTGTTATTTTAAGATGTTTAGTTTGTGCCAATTTGTTACATCAGCCCTAGGAAACTAATAAATAAGGTAATTATAAGAGTTTTTTTTTATATATCCTATTGATTTTATTTGTCTGGAAAATCTGGTTAGTACATTGTATAAATTTGTATGTTTTCAGCATATTGAAGCTGTGGAGTGGGTGAAATCTGGAAAGAGTTAGTAGTGATGAAAGAAAAAGGCAGAGGGCCAGGCTGGGTGAAAGAAGGAAGTACAAAGGTGATTAAGCAGGAGTATCCAGGAAGGTAGGAGGAAAACAGCATACATTATCTTAGATAAGCCAGGGGAACCAGAAGTTTCTAAAAGACAAAAACATACAAACTCCTTCTGCCTCCTGTCCCAGGATTTGGGCTGGAATGAGAGAGCTCTATGCAGATATTTCTAGTAGGAACTCCACCCATGCCCCAGGCATGTACCTGGGTTAGAGTTAGAGTTATTTAATTCTCCTCATTTAATTCTCTAGCTTTGTGAAACCATGCAAGGCCATATTGCAGCCCTCAGGCTCATTGCTACCAAAGTAGCCTTTGCAGCTTGGAAGAACCA